AGCCGCTGCCCCTCCTCCTGAGAAAAGATGGCAACCCGAGAAGGGACACAAACCGCCGCCTAGGGCTTCCATAGGAGCTTGAGCTGCCCACCAGCTCTCCAGGAAGGTGGNCCCTCCCCACCGCCTCCCGCTCATACCTGGCGCGGACCTCAGCATTGCGCACAGGTCACTCAAGCAGGCAGTGTCCCACCAACACACGGTGACACACCAGATCACACCCAGAGCTCCCACAGCACGGTGGTCCTGCACAACCCATACAGCACACCTACCCTGTGCATATGTATGCCACGCCGGGTCGCAATTCTGTCAGCTCCATTCCCTAGGAAATGACTCAAGCGTGGGGCGAAGGCTCCCGTGCTCCAGAGAACCCCCACAGGTGTCTCTCCCAGGGCTGTCTCGTGTCCAAAACACTTCCATGCCCCTAATCAGCTGTGAGGCCACTGGGGCCCTCTGTGTGGGAGCACTGCCTGGGAGCACTCCATCCAGATCCTAGCCGCCCCCCTGACCTGCTCCTGACCCAGGCAGTGCTTGACTTCTTGGGCCTCAGTGTCCCCAAACAGACTGCCAGCTCTGGCACCTTCCCTCAAGCTGCAGGGCAACCCGTGGGTGGACAGTAAAGGACAGAGGTCATGGCCACCTTCTCAGATAAGGGAGTCCGCTCAGGCCTCTGCTAACTCCCCGCCTACATCAAGTCTCATCAGAGAACATGGGGACCAGAGACTCCCCGCATTTCCCAGAGAATGGTCCTCCAGATGCTGGACCCAGAAAGGCTTGGGAGTGGGTCTGTGGTCAAAGTCAAGCAAGTTTGAGAAACGCTGCATCCATACTCCCCCCTACTTCCCCTTCTCCCCTTGAGAAACTCATGGTCACTTACCATGATAAAGTCTATACCCTTATCTACTGGTACTTGTGATACCATCTCTCTGTGCACTGGAAATGCCAATGGTGCCAGCTGAGAGCGAGGGGAGGAGAGGGCAGAGCTGGTACAGGAAAGAGCTGTGAGCTCCCCAAATTCTTTCCACACTCTCAGAATTAAATACCATGTTCAGTGTTATTTATCCCCCAAAATAAGTTTTCAACAAATAAAGGCTCTGAAAAGCCCTGCAGTAAAGACACTGGTTTGACTTTATATATCCTGGTGTCGTTTTCCAAACTTAATTAACCACAGAAGTTATTGTTTTTCATTTTTGTTTTGGGGATCACCGGCTTATATGGGGGGGGATGCTTTGAAGTGCAAATTCCTCAATTCACAGAGGAGGAAGCAGAGGCCCAATGAAATTGCCCAGATTTACCCAGTGAGGACACAGTGACATAAATCCAGAACCCAGCCCTGGCCCCAAGCTCTGTGCCCAGGTGCATGCCAGGCCTCCCTCCCAACACACACCCCTTCTTTTCTGTGGCCCCAGGGGCCCTCTGCCTCTTGCACTCCTCCCACCAGCAGCCCTGCTCATTGTGAATATTTTTAACTTGGCCAGGAGAACGGATGGAAGCCTCGGAAAATGAGCCTGTGTTAATTATTCTCTCATCAAGAGGCCCACACAGGGCCTGGAGAGAAGACACAGAAACCAAGGGGCCTGCAGATCAGTGGACAGAGAAGTGAGAGAACATTGGGTCCAAGAATGGGGTAGCTGGGTGCCCCTAGGTGCCCAACACTCCTGGAATAGCTGCAGTTCCNCCAGTGAAGCAACATCCTCCACAACTAGATTGAAGAACAAAACGACAGCAACTTGTCTGTTCCCCTTCCCCCAATTCCCCAGCACTGTTCCCATCACCCCAATTCCCCAATAAAAAAAAATCTTTAAAAAAAAAAAAAAAGGGGGCCTAAGGGGCTCATGATGGGCTGGTTGTGTTCTGTATCTTTGGGTGCTAGCTACATGCTGTGTTCACTCTGTATACACTTAGGATTTTTGTGTGTATATACAGAGGGTGCCAAAACAATGTATACACATTTTAAGAAAGGAAAAAACTGTACTAAATGTAATACTCAATATATACCAGCAACAAAAGTTGAATACAAGTCACATTTGACTTCTGCAATTACAAGAGGTGCTCAAAGTGGTTACCATCAACATCCAGACACTTCCAATTATGGCAAACTACTGCTTGAGCAGAGATAACATCTCTTAAAATGTGTATACATTTTTTTGGCACCGCCAGTGTATGTCTCAATAGAAAACTGTACCCCTCAAAGTAAGTTATATGTAATCATATGGATTCAGTGCAAAAACGTCATTAAGTGACAAAAGCAAGTGCAGAAATGTATATTGCATGTCACCATTTGTTTTTTGAAAATGAGGATGGTAGTGGTGATTACATATGTGTGGGTGTGTGTATGCATACATAGTCCCTAGAAGAAGATGGAAGAAACTGCCATCAGTTGATGGCCTTTCAGAGGGGAACTGGAGGCCCGCCTAAAGTTCTTACCCAGTAAGTATATTTTTTTTAATTACCAAGTAGTTCACACATATGAAAACGTTTAAGAGAAAAACAATAAACACCTAAACAATTCAAAAAAGACCAGTGTTTGAAAGTACTCCGAAGCTGCGAGGTCCACAGAGCACCCCAGAGAAAAGCTGAGTTCTGGGTCCTTCGGGTTTCTCTTGGGGTCTGAGAACTGAAAGGGTGCCCCCTGGAGGGCTAATGTGCACCCTGCCCCCTTCACAGAGCAAGAAACAGACCCCGAGAAGTCGCGCTGCTCACGGATGTCTACAGGTCCTTCCCCATCGCCTTGCACACGTTTGTTTTTTGCTGGCGGATTTGGAGTCAGACGGGAGTGGAAGGTTGTGGGACCTTGGCATGTCACAGTCTCTCTGAGCGGGGTCTCCTCGTTTGAAAGAACATGGGAGTAATAACCCCCACCTCATGCTGAGGCCGTGAGGAGCAGAAACGATGAGCAAGGACCCGGCGGGAGCGTCCGTCCGCACTGCTCCGAGATGGACACACGGTGACGCTAGTTCCCCGCGGGTCCGGGAGGAGGGGAGGGGCGCTGTTTCTGCACACAGCTACTCATGCTTCGGAGCCCTGGGAACGAAAGCGTGAACCCGGATGAACCGGGAGTCCCTGCTCAAGGTGGCAGGACTGAAAGGGCTGGGAGGCCCAGAAGGAGGGAAAGGGGAAATGCTTTCCATCTGGGATTAGAATTTAGGGTCTTCTAGCGTGTTGACTGGTGGCCCAGAAAAGATAGGTACACCTGGAACCTGTAAATATGACCTTCTTTGGAAAAAATCTTTGCAGATGTCATTAAAATAAGGATCTTGAGATGACCCATCCTGGGTTATCCCTGGTGGGCCCTAAATCCAATGACAAGTGTCCTTATCGCCGACGCTGAGAAGGCCACGTGGAAACAGGCAGAGACTGGAGTGATGCAGCCACAGCCGGAGAACACCTGGAGCCACCAGAAGCTGGAAAAGACAAGGAAGGATTCTCCCCTAGACCACAAGACTGAGTGCAGCCTGGCTGACACCTCGATGTCAGACTTCTGGCCTCCAGAACGGTGAGCATCTAAATGTCTGTTGTTTTAAACCACCCAGTTTGTGGCAATTCGTTACAGCAGCAACAGGAAACTAACACAGGTGTTTACATTCTCAGCCTGCTGACTCCCACCCCCAGTAGCCCACAGGATGGCACACAAGGCCCCCCAACTCCTGACCCCTCTATTTCCTCCCCAACCCCCAAACTTCATCATACTCGCTTTTGAAACATGAGCTCTTTCACGCCTCTAAGCTTCTGCTTTTGGTGGGCCTCTGGCTGGGCTGCCTTCTGCTCATGGAGCCCCTGAACAACTCCTATACACCCCTCAAGGCCCTCCTTAAACATCCTCTTTTAAGTATATTAGTATATTCTGAATCAGTGGCTCCCAGCACACCTGGACTTCCTCATTCACCTCAGCCACTGTGTCTGTTCAATCACCATATCATCACTGTCCATTCAGCTATGTGTCCCCCCCCAATGGTCCTTGTCTCCTGGCCTCTCCGTCCCCACAACTACTGTCCCAGTTCAGGCCTCACCATCTCTCACCAGGACCCTTGTGCCATCTCTTCACTGGTCTCCCTGCCCCAGTCGTGCCCCTCCCGTCCATCACCACTCAGTTTTCAGACCTCTCAAGTCACTCCTGCTTACAAGCCTTCCATAGCTCCCTGCTGCCCTGAGGAGAAAGTCCAAAAGGAGTGACAGTATTTCAAATGCCCCTTCCCAGTTCTCACCCCACCCCCACTGAGTTCCAACACGCCCATGTGCTGCACACCCTGGGCCTTTGCATAGGCAGTACCCTTCACCTGGAAGCCCTCGCCCTGTCTGCCAGGCAGCCCCCCCCCCCCCCCCGATGCAGCACCCACCATTGCAGTGACAACAGCTAAAACATCACCAGGCTGACCGCACACCAGGTGCTGTTCTAAGTGCTTTATACCTGTTAATGCTTTAAATTAAGAATCCCAGGAGAATGACTCCATTGCCGTATCCAGTTCACAGGTGGGAGAACTCAGGCCTAGAAGGAAGAAGAACTGCTCAGAAGTGGCAGAAAGTTCTGAACCCGGCCTGCGATGTCATTCCTCCTGGTAGGGGCCTCAGCACTGTGGAACTCGGCTGTTGAAACCTCCCCTTATCCGTGCTGCAACCCCAAACTAATCACTCTTTTCTCCGTGGATTCTGAATTTTATAAACATGATTATTCAGTGGTCTCCCCACCAGGAAGCTTCGGAAAGCTTCACTTTACTTCTCTAGCTCTATGGTAACTGGCACAATGTAAGGGGTTCAGTAAACTAGAATGAATCAGTGAATGGTTTCCAGGACTCTCGGGGCCTGGGGATTTCTCATCCTCCTCAAAAAAATAAATAAATAAATAATGAATTATGCAAATTTTCTGGAGCCAGACCTTTTGCCTTCTCCCTTCCACTCTGCCCCCTCTCTGCTCCTCCCCCAGGTTTCTGGGAGGGCACTGGGCTCTCCAGAAAATGCCCCAGGCTCTCTAGTGTCCTGTTTCCTGATTACAGCTGAAACTAGGGCTTAAAGCTGGTGAATCACTAGCAGCCACTAGCCAGGGCGTGTTAGGGTGTCAGGCGGGAAGGGAGCAGCCAGCTCCTCGTGGACCTCCCCTACTTCTGCCACCCCCAACTTTACCATCACTGTGTGACCTCCCCAGCCTCTGGAGCCTCGGTGACACTAGCTGGAAAAGGACCTAGCCCTGGGTACAGGTGAGTTTGAGCAACTCCTAGACTGTGCTCTCTCCCCACCTCTAACCCCTGCCACTCCCAGGTTCCAGAGAACCTGCAGTCAGACAGTTCCCAAATCCTGGTCTTAGCAGCTTATTAATGACACCGAGGGTGGTGCCGCGTCCCCATTTGAGAGACAGGGGAGCCAGTTCACAGAGCAGGAACTACCCGGGACCACCTGTAGAAAGTAAGTTGGACACAGGAAATTGAATTTGGTTTTTCTGCCTCCCAAGGGGGTTTAAAGCACGACCGGCCATTGGCCATTTCTTGATTCAAGCCTCACGACCTTAGAGGACAAAGAGTGATAAGTATGGATTCCCCGCTCCTGCTCCTACCTGGAGGCATCTTATCAAGTGTCCCAGGTGCTGGAGGCAGGTGAGGAAACTACAACCCCATGGTTAAGGGCCCACGTCCAGGTTCAAATGCCAAGTTGACTCCTGACAAGTCACAGGGTTATTGAGACCTTGGGCAAGTTTCTTAGCTTCTGTAAAACTGTTTCCCCATCAGTAAGATGAGAGAAACTCTAGGTACCTATACCTACACAGCATAAGACTTGTAAAATCCTAGGGGTTAACAGAAAGGGCTTAGAGCAGGCAGCACATGCTCAATGAAGAACAGCTTTTTCGAAGGGTATTTTGAGGGAATTGGTTCCTAAGGAGGAAGCATTTGGAGTGAATCCTTGTTGTCATCAGAGAGGAATGTTCCCCACACCTGTCTCTCGAAGGCCCAGGACTGGCGCTTCCTTATAAGTCCCGAGGCCTGTCCCACCCAGACCTGCCAGCACCGAGTATGGGAGTGGGAAGTTGATAGTTTTAACACGAGTCCAGGGGGTCCCTTGGATTAGGCAAGTTTGGGAATCCCAGGGGCTAAGCATCCTCTTTTTCTGAAGACTCTTCTGGTCACACACCTTCCGCCCACTTGTCAGCATGTCCTTGGGGGGAAAACCAACTCTTTTTTTCCCCCAATTAGTAATACTTGTTCACTGGAGTAAGCGCTCACCAGTGCCAGGTGCTTTGCTAAATTAATTCCATCTACCAACAACCCTCTTAAGCAGGTCCTGTCTTTCACCCCATTTTACAGGTGGAAACAGTCCAGGGAAGTTAATAACTTGCCCAAGGTCACATAGCTGGAACTTGGCAGAGCCAGGACTCTATTCACCACCACAGTATGGCCTGTGCAAGCAGCCCCAGAGCCTTGGGGAAGGACTTAGATGCCCCAGCCCGGAGCAGGCGTCTCAGGAGCTAGAAAGCCTGCAGTCTGGACAGTTGCGCAAAGCTAGAGTCACAGTCCCAGTCCCTTTTTCTCACCATGTCCACACAGCCACACCGATCCTCGTGGTTCCTTTACCTGACTCCCCTCCGCCTCCTGGCCCGGGGCAAAAGAGGGCGCTCCAGAGCCATGCAAGCTTTGAGGACAAATGCTCTCACCCCCCACCCCCATCCCTCCACGCCCACAAATCTCTCACTCCCTCACCTGCGCCTTTCTCCAGCACCATCATGTTGCTATTATTCTCTGGAAATGCTGTGCCTTTGACTGTGTCTCCTGAGGATGGCACATCTTCACTGATTTTAGGCTTCCATGTTGAGAGGGTGGCCTCTTCCAGGAAGCCCTCCCTGACTGCCTCCTCTGCATTACCTGGTTCCTCACTGCCACTGCCCTCTAGGGGATGACTGCCTCAGGCACTGATGTTGTATCCTAAGGGTCTGTCTCCAGATACTCTGATCTGGGGGGGAAGGTATGGAGAGGAGACAGAAGACAGGTGTCACTGTCACTCACCTCCTTCTGGATTAGGTAGAAAAAGAAAGACAGGGCAGGTCTCCCTCTTCCTGGCCTCTTCCAGCTGGCCTTGACCCTTAGGCCTTTTGGTCAATATTTGTTGGGCAACCGGACAGATTGGCCAGGGCTGCCTGGAGGAGGAGGAGGACGGGGTTGTTTGCTTCCCCAGGGGCACCTTTGGCCAGTCCCACCCCTCCTGGTGCCTCCGCCCCACCCAGCTGGGGCTTTGAACATGGAGGGATTCTTTGAGGTGTGAAGTGACATCTTGGTCTGAGTGAAGCATGGAATCTGTGACAGGTGGAGGCCAAAGGGAAGCAAGGCTGACAGAGTTAGTTGCTGGCCTACCCCCCTCTCCCCTGAGATGAGACTGAGGCTGCCAGAGCCTGGTCAAGCTAGAACTGAAGCCCTGTGGCCCCAGTGGGGCAGGATGGGGTCTAGCCTCCTCCTTCCCAGCTCCCTCAGCCCCTCCCCCATCAAAGCAGGGCAGGGCGCCCAGACTTGGGGGGGCTGGGCCCTGGAGCCAGGGATGCTTCCTGCGGACATTCGACATTCGACTCCCACATTCCTGGCCATTCCAAAGACTCCTCACTCCTCCTCCCTTCTTGCCCTCCCCACCGTAGGGGGAGGGCAGTGGCCTGGGTCTGAGCTAGCTGCTTGGGGTCTTTAGGGATATGTGGGGGCCTATCTGGGAAGGACTGAGGTCTAGACTAGAGGGGCTGCCGGGAGGGCTGTCCAAGGCACCGCCCCGGGGGTCCTTGTGATTCTCATATAAACAGGAAGTCCCCCCCCCCCATCTCTGCAGACAGGCCCCTGTGTGCAGATGCTGAGCTCTGGAGGCCCAGCGGCCCTTGACCTCTCCGGCTGCTTCCTGTTAGCTGAGCCAGAGGAGAGAGAGGGAGACAGGAATGGCCTAAGATGGGGGAGAAGCGTAAGGGAGTATAAGTGCAGAGAGGCCGAGAACAGAAAGGCCAGAGCAAGCCTGACGCATAGTAGGCACTCAATAATCCAGCCTGATATTGGGGAAGGAAGAGATGGGCTGCTCTGGGGAGAGCAGTACAGTTCAGGGAAAGAGGCTGGACGTTTCCCACCCTGCAGTTACTGAGGCCTAGCACATAGTAGGTGCTCAGTAAATATTTGAGACCTATGTTTAAGATAGGTGGGGAGGGAGTGTTCTTAGGAGAGCAACACTATTGGGGAGCAGGGAGAATGGGGCTCCCCTGGTCTGGCTGCTCCCTGTGGGTAGACAGCCCCCAAGCCTTAGCATCCCATTGTCCCTGTCTGGCCCCCACCCCGCCCCATGGCCGGCTGGGCCAGGCCACTGTCTCAAGGCCCTTTATTTTTAAAATCCCTGCGGTGTTCCCACCCCAAACCAAAGGAGCAGTGCCAGCCACAGATCCGCCTTCGGCCTGGGCTCAAGGCCCAGAGGCAGTGGGGGTGGGGCATCCGGCCACCCGGCAGCTGCCGATGCAATTCTGGGAGGGCTACTAAGCCAGCCAGCCTTCCTGAGCAGGGTAAGGAGCCCCTGGGGTGCCCGTGGCACTGGCCCAAGGTGTTAGCCCCAGGCCTGCTAGGGTAGCAACTGGACTTTGTTAAATCCAGTGGCTTACTCCTGTGTGAAGGGAATCTAGGCCTGCCCACCTTTCACCAAATATGTACACAGCACCTGGTGTGTGTAGAGAAGGAGGCATGGACACAACCTTGTGACGGTGACAGGTGGGTCCTACAGAGGATATAGACAGTGACGTTGTGGGGCAGTTCTGGAAAGAGCACCCAGCTGGCTCCATTTCTTCCTGGCTGTGTGGCCTTGGGCAAGTCCTTTGGCTTCTCTGGGCCTCAGACTCCTCCCTATAAGATGGGACAATAATAGCTACCATGGAAGGCTTCGGTCCATCTCCAGACACAGCAATGAACAAGGCAGCGTGGTCCCTCCCTCATGGAGCTTAAAGTCCTGGGGGGAGATGGTTCTGCCATATAAACAAAGTCATGGCAGTCGTTGTGGAAGGGAAGGTGCTGGTGGGGCAGTGGGGAAGGGGGTTAACTTAGGTTAGGTGGGTGGGCTGGTAGGCTTCTCAGCAAGTGCCACTTGAGCTGAGAAGGAGGCAGCCTTTCACTCATGTGCGGGGAAAACGTACTAGGTAGAAGGAATAGCAGTGCAAGGGCCCTGAGGCAGGAGTTGGCAGGGTGACCTGAGATAATGAGTATAGAAGGACTTTGTAAACTCTGAAGGGTTGTGCACCTGGAAGATAGTGTTATTATTGTTATTGTCACTATACCAAGCCTGGGGAGGCGGCAGGGATGGTGGGCAGACTCATGCCACAGCTGCGAGCTGCTCCTGCATCCCTTCCCCTTCACTTACTCCACCTAGAGAATGCCAGGCTGGCTGGTCAGCCGATGCGTGTGGGCCCTTGAACTACAAAGGGTGTTTACTCCAAGCCCAACTCGTTTTCTCCTTTGATCCTCCCAATAGCTAGGAGGTAGGGCAGGCTGGGCTTATTATCATTGTATCCATTTGATGGATGGGGAAACTGAGGCAGGATGCGCACAGGAGGTGGTGGTAGCTTGCTGAGATCACCTAGCTCGTTAATGGGAACGTGGAGCCATTGGGAAAGTGCCCAAGCAGCTGGGTTTCCAGGCTGATCTATGCACCCTGCCATGACCCTTTGGTTCCCCTGCTTTGATCCCCAAAGAACATTTCCCAGCATCTGTCCCAGCACCCACAAACCAGCACACAGATTCCACCACGAGGTGCCAGCCACCCCTCAGGCTCCACCAGAAGAATGTGGCCTGAGCCTCCCCTTGGGCACTCTGGCCAGCAGGCCTTGGCAAAAGAGAGGCCGGCTGAGTCAACAAGAGGCTGGCAGGGGCTCAAGCTGCCCACAGAGGTAGAGTCAGAGACCTAGAGGGGCCTGCCCCCTCCCCACCCCTCACTCTCCAGAGCCCCTTCCTCCCGCTTGTCTGGGCACAGTTAACCCCTGCAAGTCTGACAGGGGAATGGTCTGGTGAGAGTCAATTAGTCAATCTCCCTGTGGAAAGAGGCTATGAGACCTCAGCTAGGTCACTTCACCTCTCTGGGCCAGTTTCCTCACCCGTGAGATCCTCTACTTACCCATGAGGATGTGCTCAGAGTCTTTATGAATTAATAAAGGTTACTCTGCACATTGTGTCCCCTCTCTGTGAGCTGGAGTGCAAATTCCTGAGTCCAAAGGCAAGAGCTGTGCCCTGTTGCCAGTTGCCAAGTAGGTGCTTAGTGAGTGCTTGCTGTGATCTGACAGTTAAGTTCATGAAACAACTCAGAGAAATACAAGGAGACGAGCATCTCTAATAACTATGACACACCCCCAGTCTCGGTTTGTGGCGCCTCTTCCCAAGCCGTCATCTTTGATCACAGGCATCATCGTTCCCATTTGACAAATGAGAAAACTGAGGCACAGGGAGGCTAAGGAACTTGCCCATGATCCACAGCTGGGACTAGTGGGAACTAGCTCTCCTGACTCCCGGGGAGACATTTGGAAAAGGGGAATGGCTGGGGGCATCTGTGTGCAGCCCTGGCAGGTGGAAGGAAGTGCAGTGGGCGGGGGTCATGAGGAGTTGATTGCTGCTCCAGTTCAGGGAGGAAATCTTGACTGGCAGGGCTGTCCTCTTGGAGTGAGCCCCCCATCACAAAGAGAAGTAAGTAGAGGCAACAGTCATCAGTAGGGATGCTTCTAAGCGGTTCCAGCCCCAGGAGGATGTGTGTGCAACACGTGAGGTCCTTCCCACATCCTGAGCCTGAGATCACGGCCCCTTCGCGGTCTCCGATCCTCAGCCCTCGAGGCAGCAGGACACTGTGGATGCCACAGACCTGGGCTGGAATCCAGGGGGACCACTTCCAAGCTGTGAGGAGCTGAGGAACTAACTTTACCTCCTTAGCCTTGGTTCCCTCTTCTGCATGATGGTGTTGGGAGGATTAGAGCAAATGCAAGTAAAGCACCGAGGTCAGAGCTTAAGCTCCTGTCAGGCACTTAGGAGGTGCTGAATATTAAACATTAGCCGCCCTCACTTCTGATAAGCTTCCTCTTATCATCAGTTCAGAAAAGTGCGGAGGAAACCAGGAGCTAAGAAGTAGTGGGAGTGGAGGGTCAGTGCATGAACCCAGGACTCAGCCAGGAGCACCGGGGTAGATTCCTGGCTCTGCAAGGAGCAGGCAGGTGCCACGAGCGAGCTGCTTTCCCTACTCTGTTTCTGTGTCCGCAAAGGAGATCATGTGCGTGAAAACCCTTCATCAGGCAAAGTGGGTGGCTTTTGTGAGGAGAATACAGACATCCCCGCGTGTCCAGGAATGAACCCATGGTCAGGAGAGGAAGGAGCCCCCACCCCACCCAGGCAGGGCCACGTGAAGCCCCAACGGCTACGTTGGCTGAGGAGGCCGATGCTGGAGATGGTCAGCGCAAGGCAGGGCTGGCCTCCAGCCCACGGGCCTATCTCTCCACCCAGGCTGGACGACAGAGAATAGGCCATTGTTTCTGCTCCTCAAACACTTTTCCTGCCCCCCCCCTCCACACACTGCCCCCCGACACACACACATTGAGAACAAAAGTCTCCTGGAAGACCCTCCCCACTGCCCTTCCATCCAGGCTCCTGGACGCCAGGCCCAGCTCTGGACAACCCAGCCCCATCACCCCTGGGATGACAGGGTCACCTAGCCCTGACCCTTCTGCTGTCCCTCCCCACCCCCTGCAGCTACAGGCGCCTCAGACCCCCACTCCCCCCTCCATCTATCCATCTGACTGTCCTCCTCAGGGTGGAGCTGAAGGAACTGACCCCACATCCTTCCTCAGCCCCCCTTCAACTTCTCCTCCTGTTCTCCAGGAGAAAGGGAGCCTGGAGGGGTGGGGGCCCTTCTCCACCCCCATTTCCCTGTGGAGCAGTAAGAGAACCAGAGCGAAGGGGGCCTGGAAGGCTCCGGCTGAGAAAACTCTTCCACAAGCCTGCCGGCCGGTTTCCCAGAGCCAGGAATTCCAGAGGCGCTTCCTGCCCTGACAGCTGCCTGCCTCTGGAGCCATGCTCTCCCAGTGGGCCTCAAGGCCATGCCCACCAAAATACCCTTGGGATTAACTCCCATCCTGACCTTACTGCTCCGAAGAACCCACTCATACCCAGGCAGCACCTCCAGCAACAGGGTGGGACAGCCAGGGACTAATCTGCCATCACCCGGCCCCCAGGCCACCCGCCAGCCCCAGGCAGGACCCTGACTCCCCGCCATCTCAGTCATCACTCTGGCTGACTCCCCATGGTGCACATGCTTGTGCCAGACACACACGCTTCGCGTACCCAGTGCGGCTCTCACACCTTCCGGTTTGCACAATCTGAGTAAAGCCTCATCCCACCTCCTTCAGGTAGCCTTCCTGGAAGCCCTGCCAAGTCTATGCTCTGTCTGAGCCTTAACTGTCTGTGAGCCTGTCTGTTTCTTCCTGTTAGTCTGGGAGCTGGCACATAGTAGGCACTCAACAGGTGTTCACCCACGCTGAAGGCAGCTATGGAGTGTGGCAGCTGAGGACTCCCAGCTCCACTGCAGACTCGCTGCGCAGCTGTGGCAAGCCCTACCCTCTCTGGGTCTCAGTGTCCCCAGATGCCCTCGGAGGCCCTGAAACTCCCCACCAAGTGTTGGCTCCAGGGACTGTGGGGCATGAGGAAGGAACTAGAAGGCTGAGGTTCCTTCCAGGAGGGTCTTTATCCCCTGGCTCCCTCAGAGCACACTCCTCTTCCAAAGTCAGCTGGGGGAGGAGGGCGGGGGGGGGGACCCTTGGGCCAGATCGCTACCTGGCCTCTGCTAATGAAGACACCCCCAAGGATCCCAAAGACCTCCAGGGTCTGTGACCCCTACGGGCAGCCTTCACAGGGGCTAGGGCAGTGGCCCAGCCTAGCCCATGTCACAGAGGGCCCTCCCACACCCCTCCTCCCTTAGCACTAGGTTCAAGGCCTCTTTCCCCTCCACCGCAGAAGGCCCTTCCCAGCTCATCAACCGTGTGGTTCCAAGGTCTGCTGTCTCCTCTGCTCTACCCCAAAACACAGGCCCACCTCAAATACCACCTCCTCCAGTAAGCTGCCCTGGACCCCCTCGGTCAGTCCTCTGCCTCCCTGGCCCCTTCTACTACTGTTTGGGTCCTGTATCCTACCCGATATCCTAGCCTCTGGCTTCCCCTCCAGACTATGACTCTTAAGAGCAGGGCCTGCATTTCTTACTCACCGCTGCCTCCTCACAAGGTACCCAGCCTAGCCCTGGCCTACAGCAGGCATTTACTTAATGTGCGTTAGATGAAATCATCTCCTGGGGAAAGGAAAATAATAACAATAGTAATAATAATAGCTACCCTTCCTCGATCACGGGTTAGGCAGTGAACTTCATAGCTCATCACTGATGATGCGAATGCGGCCCAGGCGAGGAAGTGACTTGTCCAAGGTCACTCTGCTAGTAAGAGGCACAGCCGGGGTTTGAACTTGGGTTTGTCTGACTAAAAATGCATGCTGGGTCTTAGAGGTAGGAGCGTGGGCAGTAGCCCCCTTGGCCCATTGTCAGTCTCCCCAAGCTGGGGAACTAGTCCACAGCACAAACCTCTTAGAAAACCCAACACGGCCCCTTCCCCCTGCAATGCCTGGGTATGTCTGAGCCCCTGCCAGGAGTCCAGCCCATGAAGAGCGTCCCTGGAGTGGTCCCAGGAGGAGGGCACCTGCCCTTATGGTGGTTGTCGTACAGTTGGGGGTCAACGACCCCCTTCCTATGCTGGCCATGACCGTTCATTCCCCAAACGTGCCAGGAACACAGACATCACTGTCTTGTTGAAGATCTCACAGGGGCAACAGATGCCAATTTGGAGGATGGACCAGGTACAGGGGAGAGGCTCACTCTGAAGGAGGACTTCCCAGAAGAGGTGACATTTCAAAGCAGCCTTCAAGGATGTTTTGCCCAAGGGTGTCCCACTGATGAAGGTGAGCAAGGTGTCTGCTTGTGAGAGAGATGAGGACATGCTCAAAGACCCACGTTAGTCAGCTGAGGCCAGGTGTGAGTCGACATGAGCATCACAGGATGGGCAGGGAAATGAGTGGGTGAATCATGGAGGGACAAGTGGGTGGCAGATGGGTGCGGTGTGGGCAGTGGATCAAAGGATGCTGGATGGATAGAGGGGGTGGGTGGATATATAGGTAGGTAAATGGATGGGGGTGGAAGGATGCATGGGTGTGTGAGTGGGTGGATGGGTGGGAGGGTAGATGGATTAATGGACAGGGGTATGGGCAGTGAGTCGGCCGAGGGGTGGGTAAGTGGTTAGGCGACTAGAAGGTTGGGTAGTAAGTCAATAGATGGATAGGTAAGGAAGTGGGTAAATGGATGGGTGAGGGGTGGGTAGGTGGCTAGATTGACAATTGCTTGTGTGGGTAGATGGACGGGTGGACGCTCAAGAGATAGAGGACTGGGCAGACCAATCAATGAGTCGATGAACAGATGCATAAACTAACGGAAAGCCCAGCCAGACTTTGGGATGGAAATGGTGCATGTGCCCTACCTAGGGAGGGGCTGAGTAAGTTGGCCTGGTAGATGTGGCCAGGCCAACTTACTCAGCTCAAGGCTCCAAACCTCACTGGAGCCTGGTGGGCAGCCATTGGTATTTCTGAGTCCCCAAGGGGCAAGTGCCCCTCTAGTTGTGCCCTGCCCCCTCTGCCCTAGCTCCACCGAGGCAGACTCCCTGCCCAGAAACTGCCTCCTTCCCGCCCACCCAACCTGCAGGGGTGAGTTGAGGGAGCAGCTGAGCTCTGTGATTATGGCCCAAGGGGCCCGGTTCCTCCAGCACAGACGAGAAGATAGGGGCTCCTGAGCTCCAAGCAACCAGTCCCACCTAGCAGCCCCCAGTCCCCAGCTGACAGGCATTTGTTCTGCATTCTGCACGGTGATTATAGTTCCGCCAGAGTTAACCCCTGTGCTACTTACTGCACACAGCCTCTTGACAGGGGAGGGGAAAGGGACCACAAGAAATTGAGGGAGAAGAACACCAAGGGAAATGGGGACTGCCCATCCCTGCATCCTTCACAGGGATGCCTAGACCCCTCCCTTTCTCCCATTGTTCAGAGGGAAAAACCGAGTTGAATTCTTAAATCAGGAGTGAAACCAGGAACAGGAATGCAGCCCTACATGGAGAGGTACTCCTACCTGGAGAGAGGCTTCAAATGAGTAGGGAGAGCTCCTTCTCAGACTCCGTTTACTCATCTGTGAAATGGGGCAAAGAATTCCTGATTCACAGGTTGCCTAACAGTGAGCTAGCAGAAACAAAGTGCCTAGCACATAGTAGGAAGATCCCTTGCCCATCCCTGGCCTGGAGCTAAAGAAGATGGAGCAAGTGTGTGGCAGATTGTAACCATTTCCATGAAAGTACTTTCTTAGCCAATTCTCTGGGGCTCACAACAAGTAGTAAATATCCACAAGTAGCAAATATCCACACTGGAATTGTACCCCAAAGACAAGAAACTTGAGGGTCAGAGAGGCCAAGTGCCTTGCCCTCAATCACACAATGGCCAGGATTTAGGTTCAGGGCCTTTACATCGCACCAACTGCTTTCTTTGCCAGCTGCTCGTAGGACCCTCTGACTAGAGTGACATGTAATTTATTGTCTAACCAGGTCACCTTTGAGAATGAAAGGAAGTGCTATTAATTATGCTGGGGGGCCGGCCGAGTGGCACGTTGGTTAGGAGTTGGCTTGGGACACCAGCTCTGAGCAGCAGGGCCCCGGTTCGGATCCCACATGAGGGCCAGTGACGCTGCGCCCTCTACAGCTAAGATGGTGAACAACAGCTCGACCTGGAGCTGGGCTGCCGTGAGTCCCCAGCGACAGCATAGGCTGCAGTGGGGCTGGCTGGCCGGCAGCGGGCATGAGCTTCTGTGAGCCACCGTGAGCAGCCGTCCAATAGCCGGCAAGCGACTGCCTCACCCAGGAAGAAGAGTGCAAGGATAATACCAACATGGCCCAGTGAAGTGATGTCCTCCACAATTAGCCTGAAGAACAAAAGGACAGCAACTTGTCTGTTCCCCTTCCCGGATTCCCCAACGCTGTTTCCCTCCCCAATTCCCCAATAAAAAATCTTAAAAAAAAATAAAAATAAAATAAAAAATAAATAATTACGCTGGGACAGTAGGTGTCATCTGGGACAGTCCTAGGCAAAGCGGGAAGTATGGACATCCTGCCACAGTGGTCAGCTTTAAGCAAGTCACTTCACTTCTCTGCAAAAGGGACATGATGGCAGCACTGTCCGTACGGGGCTTTCATGAGGATTCAATGTGATAATGCATGAAGAGGCTGTAAGGCTGGTTATTACTACTGGTTAAATACTGGCTATTACTACTGCCATTGGTAGTCCCTGCCTCCATCGCTGTCCTTCCAGTCCATTCTGCGCTCACCCAAGAGCTTCCAAATGGACACCTGATCACACTGCCTGCTGGCTTCCCATACCTGCTTCGGTGAGGCTGGACACCTGGCCCAAGGTTAAGCCCTCAATAACTGGCCCAGTTCTCTCCCAGCCCTTGACTGTGCCCCCCACCCGCTGGTCCCTGCCTCTCGTGTGCAGCCCCCTTCCTCACCCATGCTCTTCAGCGCCTCTGACACTGTCCCCAGTTCTCCCTGGGACAAAGATTGATGCCAGGAAAAGAGCTCTAATCCACTGCAGTCTCAGTCCTACCGCTGTGCCACTTGAGCAAGTGCTGGAATGCTTTGTGCCTCAGTTTCTCCATTTTTCCAGCTGTGCAAATAACCCCCTCCCTTGGTGGCCAGCATCAGGATTCAGAGAGCCAATGAAAACCCACAGCACTCTGAACAAAACCTAGTCTCCTCCACCTGTGTGTCAACACGGCTCCTCACCCGCCAGGTCAGGGCTCAGGCCATTTTCATCTCCATACGGATTCATAGCTCCAAGCCTTTGCTGGTGCTGTCTTCCACCAGGTGTGTGTCCTGGCTGTGTCCTTTCCAACTTAACTCAGGTATCACCTCCTTTAGGAAACCTTGCTCAGCCCCTCCGCTCCCCTGCAAACTATGTTAGGGGTCTCTCTGTGTTAAGAGCAGTCCTCAGGACCTCCTTCCTATCCTCAGGGAGCTCGCAGACGGAGGGGAGTATGAGAGAACAAAACAACATGAAGCAGGAATCAGAGATCGATCTCCTCTCCTTAAGGATGACACGGGGTCCTGAGCACAGCTCTGAGCACAAGCCTGACCCTCTCGGGCAGGGTTGAGGGGTGCCCAATAAAGCTTTCTGAACCTATTTATCTGAGGTGTGATCTCATTTACCTGTTCAGCAAGGCTCCTAGGTGCTGACAGAGCAGAGAGCACTTAATAACATAACATCTGATGCCTGCTTTTATCATTCCATTTTACAGGTAGGAAGACTAAGGCACAGAAAAGGTAAGCAGTGGCCAGGGCAGACGAGGGAGCCAGGCTGTTGGGTTCCAGGGTCCCAGGTTCTTGACCACCACACCACTCTGCCAGTGGCCTGTGCCCCAGTCTGGCTCAAGTCTGTGTCCTGGCATCCGCGGGGCCTGTACAGGATTGAAAGAAATGGAGAGGTGGGAGAGAGGGAGTAGGCACCCCCGCTGGTAGAACTCAAGATCTAAGCGAGTCTCTCAGGCATTCAAGGCCTCTGCGATCAGGCTCCCCGGTTCCCCAAACTCCCGCGAGGAGCGCCTGGAATGCCCAGGAGCGAGTTATTAAGTCAGGGCGCCCCAAGGCCACGCGGGGAGCCGGTGGGGGAGGACTTGGCTGCAGGCGACCCAAGTCGCTTAGCCCCGGCGACTCGCACATTCCCGTGCTTCTCCTGC